CGCATTCGCATGATATATAATGTAGACCCTGATTTACTCCAGTGTGATTTTGTGGTACAATTTATCACAGGCATTGCAGTACACAATATGCTTGGTTCTTTTTAACACTGAAATCTAAAAAGGTGAGTTATGTACAAACATAAGTCAAAAGATATTTCAAACTCTCGACCTTGTCCTTTTCTCAAGCATACATAATAAATCTATTCTACAGACACATGTTGTGTGCGTGGAAATCATATCCACTATTTTCATACCCTGTGCATTTTGAAGCAGGCAGTATATAGAAGGGAATGTCCGTCCAAATTTTGTGTCCACTACTGCTTCTGAATAGTTTGACTGAAATTTGAGAATCTTTCATGCCAAAACTGGTGGATGGTTTCTCACTGATGGTATCACCAGCCCAGTAGTCAGCTACAACTCCTGTGCTGACATGAAATATTATTGACTGTTCATATAACTTTAATGAAAGTCATTCGAAAGTCTAAAATCTAAGCTTTTTCTACACCAATAGCCAGATTTGGCACAACTTTTGGGGTGTTTTGTTTTCAATGCTCTTCAACTTCGTATTGATTTGGCTTTCTAACTGTTTTGATTCAAGTTCCGCTGATGGGTTTTGTGTAGACAAAACGTGTGTCTGGCGTATTAAATTATAAGCCTGATATCTTTGATGAGTTTTTTACATGGTCCTATTTCATTTCTCCATCAGAATAAATTTTTGAGTTTACTTTTGTATGACATTGACTTTCTCATATCCACTCACTACAGTACACATGTGTATCCACTTGTTCTCATCCCCTATTATATTTTAATAAAATTACCTCAGAAACTTCACCATATAATGCCATTGTGTACCTAATTTGTATTTTTTTATCTAAACTATTTCTGACCTGTAGTTTTTGCAAATTGCCACAATTTTGTATACTTGCATCATTGTGAAAAATAAACATGTATGCATCAAACAGGAAGTAGATAAGTAACAGATTTGAAAATGTGTCACAGTCTAGCTTCCAAATATAAATTGCACAGAATATCAAGAACCTCTAATTTGTAGTTGATGAGAAAATGAAATAGAAATGTGTTGAGGACAGATTGACAAAGGTAACCTAGTATACTCCCTTCTTTGGCACAGGTGTATAAAAAAAAAACACAAAAAATCTTTGCTTGGCTCTTTTTGATTATTTAGGTTCAGTGTGTTGAAGAATGGGATCAATGAGATAATACAATGTAATGACTCTGCCATTTGTTCCACACCCACTATGAATCTTTGTAAACTTTCCTTACTGACCACCCCAGTTGCCAGCTTTGAAACATCTAGTCTACTCCACTTCAAAATCTTTATCAGTAACCACAAGACAACACACAGTCATTGACTCATATGATTGTTTTAATTAATTAAAAAAAAATACAATAGACAATGAGTAGAAATCATCCAAAATTTCCCAAAAATTAAATGTGATAAAACATTTGGCTCAATACAATAATTTTGTATAAAGAAATAATTATGCTTTTACAGTGACCGGTAGTAGTGTAAACATTTCAACACTTTCCCATCTAGCTTCATATTTGAAGATTTTGATATGAACTGTTATATAAATTTCATAAAAATCTGAAAAGAAATGTAGTTGTGATAGCACTTTGTGATAGCACTTACTATGCAATTTTCCATAGAATTAATACTTCCAATTTTGATCTGTAAAGATTTTCTAACTCTGTAGAGACATTGATGATATATTCATACCTTTGATATAAATTTCATTAAACTCTGACAAGAAATGAGGGTTAAGACAGGAACTTGTATCACTAATAACAACTGTACCTTAAATATAAAAAATCAGTCTTGCAGAAATAGGCAGAACCAAACTACAAAGGCTACGTTTAGAAGAGGTGTTACTGTTAAAAAAAACCCACACAACAATTTACTCCTGGAAATATATTTAGTATGCATGATTTTGTTACGATTTCCATTACATTATCAATACGTCGTGCTACAATAGGAACTGTGTGTGACATAAAATATTAAGTATAAGGAATATACCTGAATACTAACATACAAATAACTGCCAGCAGATTATTCAAGCTACAGAAAAGTCAAAACTATAAATACTAAAATTCACAAAATATCCATGATTAACAAACCTTAAAAAAGATTGAGATTTCAAACATATTTGGATTTCTTTGATATTTATTTAAACTGTAAGATTAAATAAGTACGAATAGTATCTTTAAATATGTAACATATAACATATATAAAGCTGCCAGCTTGACAGATATTTAAAAATAAAATAAGTTAAGTATAAATTGGACTAGATCAGTTTGAGTAAAACAAAATTAATTGTGACAACTATATTGAAGACTTCCTATAAATAAAAATTTAAGTGACTGCCTATTTTATAACTTGAGATTAAACTAGTTAACTGAGGTATTTTTACTATTTCCATTACACATCAATTATTTAGTTTCCATACACTAATAAGAACCAAAAAACTATATTTGGTTTCAAAATAACATCTTGTATGAACAAAGTATTTTGTCTGAAATATATTTTTCTGACTAACATGACAAAGTAATTTGAAAATAACTAATTATTTCTTAAAGACAGCTTTATTAAATGAAGAATAAATGATATAATGAGATTCATATTGAAAAAGTGTTATAGTAAATATTGCCACTATATGACTTTTAAAAATAAAAGATCACAAGTGTGTTTATCAGTGTAAATATTCATCACCAATCAATAATATGAGATTAACAAACAAATTTCTGCATATGATATAGAACATCACTGACAAAAATTAAATACAATTACTGCAGTGGTTATTCTGTCAAATTTTATGCATAAACAAAATTGTAGTATCAATTTCCTGAAAATTACAGTTAATCAAAACAAATCAATGTTTTCTTTTTTAACAATATCTTCATTCTACCATACAAAGTCTAAAACAGAGAATACTGAAAAACAATCAAATAATTTTCAGAAGTTTTCTTTAAACAAGAAATGATTGTAACAGGATGCTGTTACGAAGTCTCCCAAACGAAGCTCCCATAATTCGTAATTCCCAGGGTCGCCTGACATTGGGCAACGTCCAGTGAAAATTGGTTTGGTCCAGTAAAGTTATATGCATTAGTGATGCCTGGGGACTAACCTTGTATATCATTCAAATCATCTTGGCATGACAAACCAGAATATATATGGTTTAGGGGTGGGGATCTCGACCATTTACAAGATACTAGAATATTGGGGGTGGGGAGGAACCCCTGGGGACTGGCCCTATACGTCATTCAAGTGTTCATTACATGACGAACAGGAATATATATGGTTTAGGGGTGGGGATCTAAACCATTTACAAGATATTAGAACTTTCTCAAATGGCAGGGGGTCGGGATGACCCCTGGGGACTAACCCTGTATATCATTCAAACCATCTTCGCATGACAAACCAGAATATATATGGTTTAGGGGTGGGGATCTTGACCACTTAGAAGATATTAGAACTTTCTTAAATAGCAGGGGGTGGGGTGACCCCTGGAGACTAACCCTGTATTTCATTTGATGTGCTTTATCATGACAAACCAGAATATATATGGTTTAGGGGTGGGGATCTCGACCATTTACAAGATATTAGAACTTTCTCAAATGGCAAGGGGTGGGGGTGACCGCTGGGGACTAACCCTGTATAACATTTGATGTGCTTTATCATGACAAACCAGAATATATATGGTTTAGGGGTGGGGATCTCAACCATTTACAAGATATTAGAACTTTCTCAAATGGCAGGGGGTCGGGATGACCCCTGGGGACTTACCCTGTATATCATTCAAATCATCTCAGCATGACAAACCAGAATATATATGGTTTAGGGGTGGGGATCTTGACCACTTAGAAGATATTAGAACTTTCTTAAATGGCAGGGGGTGGGAGTGACCCCTGGGGACTTACCCTGTATAACATTTGATGTGCTTTATCATGACAAACCAGAATATATATGGTTTAGGGGTGGGGATCTCGACCATTTACAAGATATTAGAACTTTCTAAAATGGCAGGGGGTTGGGATGACACCTGGGGACTAACCCTGTATATCATTCAAACCATCTTAGCATGACAAACCAGAATATATATGGTTTAGGGGTGGGGATCTTAACCACTTTCAAGATATTAGAACTTTCTTAAATGGCAGGGGGTGGGGGTAACCCCTGGGGACTAACCCTGTATAACATTTGATGTGCTTTATCATGACAAACCAGAATATATATGGTTTAGGGGTGGGGATCTCAACCATTTACAAGATATTAGAACTTTCTCAAATGGCAGGGGGTCAGGATGACCTCTGGGGACTTACCCTGTATATCATTCAAATCATTTCAGCATGACAAACCAGAATATATATGGTTTAGGGGTGGGGATCTTGACCACTTAGAAGATATTAGAACTTTCTTAAATGGCAGGGGGTGGGGATGACACCTGGGGACTAACCCTGTATATCATTCAAACCATCTTAGCATGACAAACCAGAATATATATGGTTTAGGGGTGGGGATCTTGACCACTTACAAGGTATTAGAACTTTCTTAAATGGCAGGGGGTGGGGGTGACCCCTGGGGACTAACCCTGTATTTCATTTAATGGGCTTTATCATTTAGAACATTTTCAATTAAAAAGTTTGTGTCTATCACGAACGGTTTTCAATTTATAATCATTTGAAAATTTAAAAAAATAAAATCCCATAGGGTTCTATAGTAAAACCCTCTTTTCTTTTTGCCCCTCAAAGTACCCCTTTATAAACCCCATTGCAAAAACAAAACCCTGATTGCACCACTAGACATGTTAGTCTAACATATTGTGAAACCCTAAGTTAATCCGACAAGCGGTTTTGGAGAACGGGTGCGGACAAGTTCAAATTTAAAAGCGGCGGAAGAAGAAGAAGAAGAAGAAGAAGAAGAATAATAATAATAATAAGAACTGAGCAAAAACAATAAGTCTTCGTTTGGGAGACTTAATTAAGATTTAATCAAAAACAGAGTATTCAAATGCTAATACTCATTTAATATTTCTAAAAAAAACTTAAGACTTCACCACTGAAAATAAAATTCCAGTGTTGTAAAAAGATCAATTCAAAATTCTGTTAAGTAAAAATACCAATTACTTCAGATGTTTCAACAGTTTGCAGATCCATTAAGTATAACAAGAAAACAATGATGCACAACATCATAAAGTTAAGCTTTCAATCAATAACAAATGCAAATCAATATATGTATAGTATAAGAAAAGAAAAATAATGAAAAGAAAGTTGTCCAAACACCCAAAAATAAAGATATACACATTTAAAGGAAAAATTAAGTTTATCAATCATTCTGTGTAATTTTCATATTGTAAAACCTCTATTGCTTTAAATAGGTGGATTTCAAATTGTCAACTTAAAAAAGTACTGCACATTTTTTACTCCCTTTCAAATGTCTTGGAATTTTTTCTTCTTCAAATTATTTAATGCTGCCAAATATTGGCAATAATTCTTGATTGAATCAAATTAAGTCTATCTTGAAATTTTTTGGACAATATTAAGTATGTTTTAGTGTACTTTTATGACCTAAAACAATCAAAATCACTACCGCTAAAGTTTTCTAATTGAAGGACATCACTGTAGATTTTATAATGTTCACAGACTCCATTAACTGTTCTTCATTCATTACAAGGGGTGGAGCAAATCTAATGATGTCACCATGGGTAGGTTTAGCTAGTAATCCATTATCTCTAAGTCTCACACAGACATCCCATGCATCAAATTCTGTAAAAAATAAGAAATGTTAATAAATTTGAGTTCTAAACTTAGCAATGAAACTAGTTAAGGAGACAACCATTTGATTTTCAAGGGAGAGGGGGAAAGGGGGAATGGGGAGGAAGGGGTGGCAGGAGGATTTTTTTTTTGTTTCAGAATATTCGTTTTCATTTTTTTCTATGCAAGGTTATTTATTTTCAGCTCTTACCCGGTCAGGATTTTCATTTTTTGAAATCCCCTCCCCTTGAAAATCAAATGGTTATTCACCAAGCATATGGGAATTTTATAGAAAATCCACGGCCTTTCCTCTTGAACACTTATATTTGACAATTCTGTATTGATAGAGGATAACTGCATGCAGTGTTACCAATGATTTCTCTATACAAGTTTTGAATGTAGATATTAGTGAAAAACAAGTACAAATATGGACCTATTCAAGTACACCTTCTAGGATCCACTGCACTTTAGTGACTAAACACTTTTTGTTAACAATAAACAGTAGCATAACATAAACAAGGACAAATAAGTCAATAATCTATGTTTAAAATTGTATAACAAAAATCTCTGTAATAAAGTCTACGGATGTTCTGAAATAAATCTTGGCTTCTAATATGACGTGCTTCTTTCGCTTTGTAAACAACACCGTGATAAAATTCTCGATATATCTATACTTAGCGCAGACTCAGAGATGTGCATATTGGTGGCTGTTACTATTTACCTCCCACGTAAATCCACATGTATCGTAACCTATTTGCAAACACTATGTCGATTTCGTTGTGTTCAAATTGAAATTGAAAAAGAAACTACAGAACCGTTATTCCTATTATAATGCATCACAAAAAGAATTAATGCACAAGAGCATAAAAAAAAATGTATAAAATCAAAATAAAATAAAATTCCGCGAAATTTCATGAATAATCTTGGTGCATTAACGTCATGTCATAGCATGACGTCATACGAATGAAACTCTCAAGCTGATGGTTTTCCGTTATGTATACGCCCTAAATTCGGATAATATTGCATTAAAATGGAGTTTTGAGGTAGGTGTTGTTTCATTTTCTATTTCATTGCATTATTTGCACATTTGTGGATTTCAGCAAGTCAACATGGCGGCTCACTCAAGGATCCGGAAATTTTTCCAGACAATTTCGGTCATTTTGAGATGTTTGAAAAGTTGGTGCCCCTTTTCAAATTGTCGATATCAACTTGACTATATTCATAGCATCAACGAACATGACGAACTTGTATTGCTGTTTCATTGCATTTACTAAGTAAATGTCTAACCATTACCATGAAGGACAGTTTAGGGAAGGCAACAGTCTAAAATTGAAATGATTTTAATGACTCAAAATGGTTAATTTCTCAGACATTGCTTACGTTTCTTTCGATTTGACAAAAGTTAAAACCGGAAGTTTGTGATATTTTAAAGTACGAATAATTCCGGATTCATTTCCGGGATTTGTTTTGTTTATCAAATTGACAGGAAATCACCGGCTTTTTTTATTTTATTACCTTTAAAAATGTTTGAATATAACAGATAATAGTTGCACTCGTTTAATTTAGCATGAAATCAATTTGCATTTAAATGATTTTACGATTAAATATTAGATTTGCTGAAGACAATTTCACGCATGCGTATTACATAGTAAATAAAGCACATGTGTTACTCATGAAAAAATACTTTTTTCTTCGTAAATTTAGATTTAATTTTTAAATCAGATTTGATGACTGTCTTTGATGAAAAGTAAATAAATAATGAATACACTTGTCAGGGAACTTTAATGTTTTAAAGGTATTATTCTGAGCTTGTGATCACTGTCAGGTGTGAATTAAAACCACAGGTAAAAAGTGATTAGCGATCATTAGCCAATGTTTCCCGGAGGCTTTGATATAGATATTAGGAGGGCCCTCAGGATTATCAAACTACTGTAGTGGCAGTTTTATTACAGGAAAGGGATTATAAACAAAAACAAGTGATCACAAGTGCAAAATGGCGATTAAGAAATCCGATTTCAAACATTGAGTCAATGAAATGACCGAAATTACTTCTGTAAAAAAATAAAGTTTGTCCTAAATCCCAATTACTCGTTTAGGACAAATAGTTTCATCTTAGGACATGACTGGCAAATATGACCATTTCCGGACCCTTGGGCTCACTCCTTAGTTACGACATGTCAACTCTTGATTTGACAGTAAATAGTAGCCAACGAAAAAAAAAAATGTTTGGGTTAAGAATCATGAGAATTGAACACATTTTTTCTAGTGCTTATTTATGAAATAATTCATGTAAGACTTAGATTTATTTGAAATGTGTAGCTTTTATCTTACAGGGGGTAAAATAGAACAGCCATACACACAGCAATCTTACCTTTGCTTCAGTTTTTGAATTACCGTATTTGTCCTATTAGAATCGAAATAATTCATGGAAGCCATAGATTTGTTGGACATTTACACATGGCCTGGGCTATGGCTTCCATGAATTATTTCTTAATTCTTTACCACAAAATCCCCATTTCCCATTAATGCAATGAATTAATAAATACTATTGCTGTGAACAAACTTTCCCTTTGTTATATGTACAAAATGTCTTTTATTTAGTACCATTGCTTTTTGGGGTATTTTTGCTCTTTTAACATTGCATAACACATATTTCCAGAGGGGGTCCTAACCTTAATTGTTTGATATAAATATAAAATTATAAACATCTTCATAATATTGCCAACAATATGTTTGAAATTTCCAAAGGTAGACTAATTTAATCACAATTTAACATTTATGGCATTATTTCATAACTATTTTGTGGTAACATGGCCAATCATGTTAAAGATGTCTTATATGTGTCCAGTCTAAACTGCATATCTAAATAAAAAAAATTTCATTAACATAAACTCACTTTCACTAATCACAATAGCATTCAATAATCCTTTTCCTCTTACTACCTTGACAACATCTTTTGGAAGTTTATTTAATTCTTTTCTCAACATTTCTCCAAGTTTGGCTGCATTATCTGCCAGTTTCTCCTCAAGTAAAACCTAGATCAAGTAAAATTCAATTATCAGAGCATCTTTAACTGTGAAAAGGAAAAATATATAGAATGGAAATCATTTATCAAAAAGTCAATGAAGTTTTTTTAATTTCACTTGCAAGAGTCTTAAACAAGTTTATCAGTAAGCCTCTTTATATCATCCCATCAACTAACAGCACATTCTTAGATTCATAGGTTATTTGTATGAATGCCTTGAACCACACTTTGCTAAAAGTGGGATAATAATAGGGAAATATTTAAGCTGTATACTCAATCTCTCTTGTGAGAAATCAAATATGTCTTTTTCATTGTACTACATATATTGATATATGATGTAACATAATGTACATAATGACTAACCTCTAACGAAGCAATGGCTACTTTACATCCTAAAGGATTTCCTCCATATGTAGATCCATGTTCTCCTGGTTTTATTGTTAACATCACTTCATCATCTGCTAATACTGCTGAGACCTATAAAAAACCAAAGTGTCTGAATTATTTGTTATAATCTTTATGCAAACTTAATTTTTTTGTCATGTCACGTAAATAGAAAAAGTTATATCAGTACATGTTGTGTGTACTTATGGGACTTCTGAAAACTATCCATTCAACAATTCAACTTCTGATGTTTGTAAATATAAGTACCTACACAAGATCATTATCTCAATTATACTGAAGGTTTATAAATGAGGATGTACTGAAAAAGCCATTATTGCAAAAATAATTAAATCTTCAATCCATTCAAAATTAAGTTGAGGATGTCCAGTCTGATCAAATAATTGTACTATGACATCATAGACATGTCAAAATTGACAAGTTTGACATAAAATGGCCACTTTACTCATAAATTAAAATGTGCGACAGTTTCCCTTAAAAAAAATCTGTAGCATATCTAGCAGCAAAAAAAACTATTTGGTTAAGGCTGCCATTTATATCTAAACATTCTACCCCTTAGACCATATAAACAAATATTCTTGGATCCTCAACCCCACCAATCCAAAAATTGACAACCTACACTTCAGATTTCACATTATTTCCATTTATAGAAAATATGTTGGGTTTTCAGCTGGAAGCAGTAAACTATAAAACAAACCTTAGGGAAGTGATAAGAGAGAAACATTGAAATACTTACAGGAAATATACCACCAGATAAAGCTTTGCCTAATACTAACATATCTGGTCTTACACCGCTGTGTTCTACACACAACATTCTGAAATAAATTAACAAAATTATCACCATCTCGTTCTACACAAAACATTCTGAAATAAATAAACAAAACTATCATCATCATGTTCTAAACAACATTCTGAAATAAATAAACAAACCTATCACCATCACGTTCTACACATAACATACTGAAATAAATAAACAAACCTATCACCATCACGTTCTACACACAACATTCTGAAATAAATAAACAAACCTATCACCATCACGTTCTACACACAACATTCTGAAAGAAATAAACAAAACTATCACCATCTCGTTCTACACAAAACATTCTGAAATAAATAAACAAACCTATCACCATCACGTTCTACACACAACATTCTGAAAGAAATAAACAAAACTATCACCATCACGTTCTACACATAACATACTGAAATAAATAAACAAAACTATCACCATCATGTTCTACACAAAACATTCTGAGATAAATAAACTATCAATCACAAAGTTAGTTGTAAAGGAGTGAATGCAATCTTGATCAATAGCCCAAATATTAGTTCAAATTAAACAGATACCTAACATGTCATTAAATTTGTCCTAATTACCTTAGGTATAAGGTATTCAGAAAATAAGAGCCTGAATCGCTCACCTGGTAAAAAATATTTTGCTTATCTTTTTTTATCTCTCCTATAATTTTGACAAAAAGGTAAAAAAATGGATGAAAATCTTCATTTAGGGATATAACTTTATAAGGAGTAGGTTGACAGTTTTCACCATGATGACTGATTTGTAAATCCCATATGCATTGTGCTGAAAAGTTTTGATTTTGCTGTCAACAGCACAGTTTTGCTTTAATTGGTGTTTATCATTATCTATTATAGTTTGTTCAAAACTACAAAAATGTAAAATTCACCTTCTAAAAGAAGTCTGTTGACAATTTTGGCAATGTTGACTTATTTGTAGATCTTATTGTGCTTAACACCTTCGTTTTTTACGATTTCCATCTACATGTATCTATAATGATTTCAGCAAAAAATGAAAAACATGGATAAAAACCATATCTCGAAGGGCATATCTCAAAGCAGCCAATTGACAATTTCGGACTTGTTGACTTCTTTGTTGATCTAATTTTGCCGAACACTTTTGCTTTCACAATTTTTTTCTCTCTTTTTTAGTTTCTTAAAAAGAATGAAAAAAAATGAGTAAAATTAGTCTTTCAAGGACAATAACTCCTATAAGGGGTTAACTGACAATTCTTTGGTGTTGACCTATTTGTAAATCTTGCTCATCTGAACACTTTTGCTGTTTACAATTTCTCTTAATCTGTTATAGTCTCTGCGAAAACACAGTAAAATTAGTCATTGAAGGGCAATAACTCCTATATAGGGTCAATTGACGATTCATTCATATTGACTTATTTGTAGATCTTAATGTTCCAATCATTCTTACTGTTTAAACTTTCTCTCTAAATGTTATAGTTTTCAAGATAAAAAACATAAACTGAAATTTGCCAAAAAAATTGACACTTTAGGGGCAATATCTCCAAAATTGGTTGTTTGATTATTCTGAAAATTTTGCAGGAGATAAACCTTGACCTCCTAGTTACATGTAGTTCTACTCTATGTCAGATTGCTATAACTAAACTGAGATACAAGCCAAAAATTGCATTTTACCCCATGTTCTATTTTAGCTACAGCAGCCATGTTTGTTGATGGATCAAATCCCTGGATAGGATTTTCGAAACAAGATACCCTAAAGTAAAGTTTGGTTAAATTTGATCCAGTAGTTGCAGGAGAAGATATTTTTTAAAGTTTACAACAATGGATGGACGTCAGAAGACAGATGATGATGACAGACGCCAAGTGACAGCAAAAGTTGACATGGCCTTTAAGGTCAGGTGAGCTAAAAACATATTTCACATTTAACAAGTTACCAAGGCAACAAACCATGATGATATTTGTATATTTTGTAAAAGTTTTTGATTTTCCTTACTTTACATCAACTTTAAGTACATTTTGGAATGGTATGTGTGCACAGAAGAAACATTTTAAAGGGGCATTAGCTACAAAAATCTAAAATCTTTTTGTTTCAAGTATTAATAAAAGTGGAATTTAGAAATAATATTTCCTTACAAGCACTTAGTTTGGCCCAAATTTGTCATAATAAACTTAAAAACAACGCTGATGTATTAATCACTTGCAAGTGAATAATTCGACCTCATGTGAATACGTATTCACGTGAACTTCAATTTAACCCCTCAGCTGGAGAAAGGTTACATATGTAATCGGAGTGTTTGGCTATCAAAAGGAAAAGAATGTCAACACTGAAAGTGAAACAAGGATGAACCATTTCGTTGACTTTTTCAATCCACAGAAAATCATTCTTATATGGATAAAAACGATGATTAACATATTGCTTTAACCTATAACATGAAATCAAACAGACTTGAAAAATCCAATTGCACGTGGTTGCTATCTATTTATTCATTATATTTATCGGCAGTCTTCAGAGGTCATCTCGATGGTTGATAAGATGGCATCTAGACTAAAATACACACAAAATGCTGATATATATTATCGAGTCCATGCATTGTTAATTGTTTATTTTAAACTTTTTGTATTTTGGATATGCGTTTTAGTATGTTATTCATCAAATATGAGAATTTGAGTCAAATCGGTGAACATGAATTTGACAGCTAATGCCCTTTAATATTTGTTGAGATTTAGTCAATAGCTATAATGAAGCTTTTCTAAAATTATTTTGTTGTTTCTTGGCTGCACATAATGTTTTCTCACAGGAAATATGGATGGAAAACTGCATTCATTCGTCAGTTTTCTTCATTTTCATGAAAATATCCATATTATGATGTTATAAAATAAAAATATTTTGTGTTGTAAGTTATTTATATTTTTTAAGCTTATTCACTTTCAAACATTATGTGCAAATTTTACATACTTTCAAAAAATGACTTTTGGCCAAAAAGGGCCTTAATGCCCCAACTCCTTTCAACTTTATTTGCTCAATAATTTCTCTACTTTTTACACGAATTACACCAAAAATTTTAAAATACTAATTTTTCAGAAATCTGCATCCACAGAATATTTCTGTATGAATATGTGATAGATCCATCTATATCATACAATGTACACCAAATATCGATATATAAATAACATGGAAACTATGATAATGAATTTATATCCTGTACTGAGAGCTAAACACATTTTATTGTGCTAAGTTACCATCTTTACAACATTTTGCAAAGAAATCTCAGTCACACTGATTGTTTTGTATGATGCTAAAATGGCAAATATATTTCATGTGCTTCATATTATGGTGTGTTGTAGATGGAAGACCTTACATCAATAATTAATCAGCATTCCTAGTAAAATTCCTAGTTTAAAGCTGACTGTAGGTGTATCACCTGCCCTACCACACTCAACTATTTAAAACCTATGCCTAATGTATTCAGATTCGTTTCATCTGTCTCACTAAAAATTAAGTACATGCCATCATAATAAAATGCTCAGACTGTCATTTAGGGTCATGCAAGTGAACATTCTTATTAAGTCAGATGACCGGGCCTGATAGCAAATCCAACTTTTATATAAAGAACTACTTTAAATATCACTTCAAAGATCTATGCAATAAATGTAAAAATTAAACTGCTTGTGAGCACCGAGGGGCAAAGATTGCTTTCATTTTGCATTGTGATCTTGAAATTAAATAGTGCATAGTAACAAACAGAGAAATATAATTATGTAATATTTTGAGTTGAGTTATCTCTCTATGGCCATAAATGTATATAGAACTTTATTAATTTTGTATGTCCTTAATATAATAATTTTCTTGTCAAATATGGTAATAGAACATACATATATGATTTTGTAAATTGACTATCAGAGTTTAAAATCAATAAATAGCCTGATGTGGACATGGATAGGTTCTAAAGAATTTTCAATCAATCATTATTTCTAGACTTTTGTTGAATGAAAAAAGACATGAAATATTTCATATGTTTAACACTCAGGGTTCGAAATTAACACCAGTTTGTTAGCCTGAGAATATATTTCTCTGATTAGCTAGTCCAGGGTTGCAGTTAAACTTTCAGTTATCAATTATCAAAGAGCCTGGATTCTATGCTCTATGTTTGTAATTTTCATGATCAAGGAAGACATTTAAAATGTCCACCCAGTATGAATTAAAGGAGATCAGGGTATATGTCAATGACACAGAAACTAAAAAACAAAAATAACCAAAAGACTGTTGACAGAGGGCAACATACAATCATTAACAATAGACTGGTTTCTATACAATACAATGTATGTTGAGTTCTTATACGTCCCAAGTCTACAGAGTTGTGTAGAAATTTCACAATAACAATCAAATATGGGTCATCAACACTCAACCAAATAACGAGAAACAAACACATTTAGATATGACATATGACTACTGCAAAGGTAACTGACTTGAGACAGTCACATAAAATAGTGGCAAGGTTAAACTAGTTTTAGAGCTCTTAACCCTCGCCTTGTTTCAGTTGTAATCATACATAAAAGAATAGGTCATAAAATCTTCAGTTGGAGCCATGAGTTGTAAAAACAGCACCAAAGTACAAATACATGAAATGTGGGGAATCAATTGGACAGTGTCCTACTTTAAAAAAATCCACTCTAAGAAACCAAAAGATACTGAAATTGATGATTTTACTTAGGGTAAATTCATACAGCTTATGATGAATGAAATATAAAAAACATATATTTTTAAATGGACCTCAATTCAGTGTTGCTTTTGGCTCAATGAAACTTGAAAACTCTGGCCAACTATTTAAATTTACTGGACTCACTGGCTAATACATACATGGCTTAGATTCCACCCTTGATAACTATCCACAATGAACAGAGTACTCACTTTCCTGTTCTGCATAGACCTGTTTGAACCTCATCAGCAATCCATAGCACATTATACTTAGTACACAGCTCTCTAACCCCTTTCAGATACCCATCAGATGGAACAACCACACCAGCTTCTCCTTGGATAGGCTCAACCATAAAGGCACATACATTGGAATCTTGGAATTCTCTCTACAATAAAACTGTCCATTAAACAAGAAGCACAAAAAGCCTGTATTGCTCAACTTGTTTTAATATCCATTGTCAACAATGGCCACTTTCCACCCCCATTTAACCTTTATATAACCTTTAATCCATAAGTTAAGCCAGCTCTTCATTAAATTTTCCAAAAAATATCATTGCATTTAAATATTCAGTCAAGATAAGAATTATTCGTGGCTGTGGTTACTGGTAGAGCATTCTTATTTCAGATGACAGAAATAAATGGAGATAATTAATGTATTGTTTAACCACAGTTTGGTAGCAATAGACATGCTTTTCCAGATTTTCAAAATACCCTTTTACATTTTCTATTTATAATAATAGTGACATTCGTGTTTGCAGGTATGCTTTTAACCATAAGTCTGAAAGAAGATAATAAATGTATTATCTAATTAAAATTTGGTGGCTATTGATATTTTGAAAATTTCAGATTTTTTTTATTGTCCTTTTGTCACATTTCCTTGTTTTAAGTTTCAGTAATGGTGGTGTTTATGTTGAAAGCATTGATTAGGTAATCAATGAACAAATCCTAAACAGGATCTTAAATGCATTTAACCATAAATCTAAGAGGTGATTATAAATTAATAATTTTATCAAGATATGGTACCAATTGGCATTTGGTTCTATGATATAATATGATTAGCTAAAATAAAGTTAACAATTTTAAGGCAAATTTTCTTTTTTTAATAATATTGGCTTCAATGTTTGATGGCCAATCTGATGATCAACCTGTAATTTTTAAGAGGACGATATTAATGGTAAGGGGATGTGTATGATTGCCAATGAGACAACTATCCACCAAAGACCAAAGGACAAGGATGTATAAAACAACAGGTCACCATATGGACTTTAACAACAAGGAAAAAACCCATACAGTATAGTAGGCTATACAAGAACCCAGGATAACAAAATGTCAAACAATTCAAATGGAGAAAAATCAATGTTTCATTTAACAACACTTTGGTAGCAATTTGTCCTTCATATGATTGTCAGAATTTATTATTGAACATTTGGAGTAATTCTTTTTATTTTTTAGTAATAGTTAGTTGATGCCACGTTTGAAGGAATTGGGGTATCATCAACCATGGTTCTCAAATGAAGCATATCCTAAAAGTTTCATTGTTATTGGAACCCTACAAGATATAAAAATATTCATTTTTTTAATTTCGACCATATATCTTGTTTTTAACACTGGGTTCCATGTTGGTGTGACAAGTATTGAGACATAACTCCTTATGTAGTGCCTCAACAGATGATACAGCCAACATTCATGGAAATTTTAGTAATTGTATATTAAAGGGCAAGTCTGTACCTAGTTTTTGCTCAACATAGTAATATGCTGAACACAGTAACATGTTGGCCATAGAAAATTGCTATAACAACAGCTCTATTGAGAAATTCTGAAGAATTCAAGTACCGTTTGAAAACCAATCCAACTTGAAATGAAAAGTTCCTGTTTTAGTTGTCAATGCCTTTTAGTCCCCATCATAAATAGCTAGGCCAAATCTGACTGAAAAATGCTGGCAGTGAACTTTTTAACAACTTTCAATGAAAAGTGGAATACAGGGGTTCAAGTTCCGTTCAACATTTTAGAGGCAATACATCTATAAAATGATAAGAGCTACAAAAAGGATACACAATAACATAATCAGCTTGGGAAATATTTAATGTATCTACCTCAAGTGCACCTAAATCATCATATGGAACCATGCCAAATCCTGGCATGTATGGTCCAAAGCCAGCATAACTAGAAGGGTCTGTAGATGATGAGATAGCAGCTAGTGTACGACCCCAGAAATTACCAGAAGCAAAAATAATCTTTGCTTGGTTATCTGGAACTTTCTTCACGTTATATGCCCACTTCCTTGCTAATTTACAGGCTGTTTCTCCTCCTTCTACACCTAAAATCAAAGAAATTGAATGTTTTGAAAGTCAAATACCTGAAACATTTTTCAGCTTGTGTCATAATAAAGAACAGCCAAAACTAATAAACATCAGCTTAAGCTGCAGAATATGCATACATACAGTTGAGTCCTCACAAATATGTTCAACTCCACCACTCGGTGGACTGGGTGTCATTGGTTGCTGTCTTTCATTAAAATTCTGTTTATTGGTTTGCACATAAATCAGTCCATTGGTTTTTTTGTTTGAATTGTTTTATATTTTGGCATGTTGGAGCCTTTCATAACTTATTATATGGTATAGGTTTAGCTCATTGTTGAAAGCTGTATGGTCATCTATAGTTGCTTAAATCTATGGCATTTGGTCTCTAATGGATAGTTGACTCTCATTTATGCAATCATACCACATCTTATGTGGGCCAGAGATTTATGAGATATATGTATCCTGAACTGCTTCCCTTTTGAAGCCTCAGTCTGAATTCCTTAAAACATTTTAGAGTTTATACATATACTACCCTTCGTATAATCTTTGACATAACATTCTAGTAGATTTCAGTTTGTCATTGTTTATGAATATCAGTACTTTGGTCTCCTTTCAATAAACTGACCTTAAAGTAAATTAATATCCTAGCATCATTCACTAGTGTTAAGATTTAAGATGATTATGCTGTGCATATACTTTTTGTTTTTAAACGTTTTCATTCTAATTGCAGGCAAAATATTCAAAATATTTTTATAGTGTAAACACAAACCTGTATTCATTGGAAGTACTTTATCATATTTGAACATTTTTGTGATATATTCCTCAAATTCTCCCAACACATCGTTGTAAAATGCTCTTGAAGTCAAGGTTAACTTGGATGCTTGGTCATTTAATGCCTTGACAATCTTTGGATGACAATGTCCTTGGTTACATGCACTATATGCACTGAGATAGTCAAAGTATCTGTTGCCTTCTACATCCCATACAAAACAACCTGTAGAAATCAAGTAAGACCTTTGGATACATTGGTATTTTCACAAGACCTTCATGAATATTAACTATCTTTTGCATTTAATTTGAAACCTGACAACATTTGATATATATACAATATGAGAAGTTTAACATATTTCCTTCTTTTCAATAATGTAGTCTTTGTCTTCCACATATACCATAAGGAGATATGCATAAATTGAATTAAAACTCTTTAATTAGTCGAAATCCCTGCACCATTTTCAGACAGGAATAATAGCTAAATGAAAAATTGTTTTCCAGCAATCACCAAAAACCCTGATTTTTATCTACATTGTGGTAAATAAAAGAAAATTCATTCATTTGTATCAGCATTCAAAAATTCATGAATTTTTAACACAGGACAAAACCAATGAAAACATTCTCTTTATTCCATAAATCAACCTTTTTTGGTGGAAAAATTAACTTCGACCTGGACTTATTATAAACTTAAAGTCATATGATAATTCAAATTAAAATAAATGTGGATAGTGTACATGTCCACATGTGGACACAGATGATGCCCCCGCTTGCCTAGCATATAGTTATAAAGGGACATAACTGAAGAACGGTAAAAGTGACGCTACCCAAATTTGAACTTGATCTGAGTTTTGTGGCAATAAGCATTGTGTGTAAGTCTCATAACATTTGGTTGAGGCTAACTTAAGTAGAGAGCAGAAACTAAAAATTCAGCAATTTTTCTATTTGTAAACACGCATAACTCTAGAACGGTTGTGTATAAGTTTTATAACATTTGGTACAGACAAACTAAAGTTAGAGAACGGAAACGAAAAATTCAGCAATTTTAATGTTTATAAAGGGACATAACTCAAGAATGGTAAAAGTGTTCTCACCAAATTTCGTACTTAATCTGTATTATGAAGTAATAAGCATTGTGTATAAGTTTCATAACATTTGGTTGAGGCAAACTAAAGTTAGAAAACGGAAACAAAAAATTTGTACTTGATCTTAGTTTTGTGGTAATGAATACTGTGTATAGGTTTCATAATGTTTGGTTGGGGCAAACTTAAGTTACAGAATAGAAACTACAAATTTTGCAATCTTTCGATTTATAAAGGGGCATAACTCAAAAATGGTTAAAGTGACCCTACCCGAATTCAACTTGATCTGTGTTTTATCAGTGGAAGTCAAAATTAAACATTGCATTGTATAAAGCATTGATTGTAGTTGATTCAACTATAATCATGGACAAAGGAAGATAACTCCAATTTTAAAAATTACTTGATATTTAGAAGAAAATAAAATTTTTGCAATTTTTCCAATTATAAAGGGGCATAACTATAGAGCGGTTAAAGTGACGCCACCAAAATTCAAAGTTGATCTGTGTTTTGTGGTAATTAGCATTGTGTATAAGTTTCATAACATTTGGTTGAGGCAAACTTAAGTTACAGAACGGAAACTAAAAATTATGCAATTTTTCCATTTATAAAGGGGCATAACTCTAGAACGGTTAAAGTGACGCCACTAAAATTTCGAACTTGATCTGTATTTTGTGGTAATAAGCATTGTGTATAAGTTTCATAACATTTGGTTGAGGCAAACTCAAGTTAGAGAACGGAAACCAATTATGGGACGGACGTACGTACGTGACGGACAAGGGTAAAACTTAATGCCCCCACCACTATGGCGGGGGCATAAAAAAAAGTTGAATATGTATTGCATACTTGAATGGTTAAGTTTTTACTATAGAACAAATGTATGTGTTCATGGACTTTCTTTCAAAAGAAATCCTTAATCTTATCAAAATCTTCATAAATGTAATGCTTTTGAATTATTGTCTTCCCGTACTCCAATTCACCAATATTTTTCCGTATGCAGTGATCTTTACTACAAGACCTTTCGTTAGAACTTCGGCCAATGCACAGTGCAAGTGAGAGAGTAAAACCCTGATGAAAGAAGTTAAAAAACATGCACAGGAAGGTAAACAGTAATAATTGATTTTAAAAGAACAATTTAAATACACCAAATCATTAAACAACTGTTATGAAAAAGTTAAATAAACAAATTTGAATGCATGTGAAATATAAAAAAAATGTTAACATCACTCTATCAATTCACTTATTTTTCACATGCTCCCCATACTTCTTTTTTGATCTTTTATCAATGTCCTGATCGGTAACACTCTAAAGTTATCTAGCTTGCGATCAACAATCACTGAATGAAATATCATTTGTTGTAAATATGTTCTAGATCCATAATAAATGTAATACACATGCATAGAGGACTTAGTTTAGTATAGATGCATGCATTGCTTCAATAATTTCCTTGACATTATAATTTCAAGAAACTTGTTTCATATGACTAATTAACAAGTCTGCTTCTTGTTGGCTATAAAACAAGTAAAACTGTGAGTTATAATAGCCCAGCTTTAAGAAATGGGGCAACAGAAAAATGATGAGCGATGAATCTAAAAATCCATTTCACACTAAGGCCTGTTAACATGAAGCCTGATAACAAATTTCCGGAAGCTCTAAGAGCTAATTTCCTAATGCTTGTAAATTAAGACTTTGGCTGGCTGGCTTGCTTTGTTTGTATTAACGTTTGCTCAAGCATTGTAATTAAGATTGACATCTGCAAACAATATAAAATAGGCTGAGTTAAACCTGTATACATTATACATTTGATTGGATGTTATCCTGGAGGTTAGCAACACCCAATTGTACATGTAAACATTACAAGACAATGTTAGCAAGGTTCAACTCCCCCCAATCTATATTGTTTGTGGATGTCAATCTTAATTACAATGCTTGAGCAAATGTTTATACAAAGAAAGCAAGCAAGCCAACCAACGTCTTAATCTACAAGCATTAGGAAATTAGCTCTAATTGTAGTCAAGAGATACTGGTAAAGGTAATATAAACCAATACATAAACATACCTTCTTTGAATCCCCCCTGTCAAGTGCTTCTGATAAGGGGTGATAATTATGGGCACCAGTACATAAAAATACTTTCTCCCCTGTCAAGTGCTTCTGATAAGGGGTGATAATTATGGGCAACAGTACATAAACATACTTTCTCCCCAGTCAAGAGCTCAGGTAAAGGCTTGATAATTATGAGCACCAGTACATATACATGACAAACATACCTTCTCCCCTGTCAAGTGCTTCTAATAAGGAGTGATAATCGTGGGCACCAGTTCATAAAAATACCTTCTCCCCCTGTCAAGAGCTCCTGTTAAAGCTTGATAATTATGAGCACCAGTTTGTAAACATACTTTCTCCCTTTTCAAGAACTACTGGTAAGAGGTGGTAATTATGAGCACCAGGACATGTAAATAAGTTCTCCCGTATCAAGAATTACAGTGCTAAGGGGTGATACTTATGAGCACCAGTACATAAACATACCTTCTTCCCTGTCAAGAGCTTCTGTTAAAGGGTTATATCTATGAGCACCAGTACATAAACTTACCTACTCCCCTGTCAAGAGCTTCTGTTAAAGGGTTATATTTATGAGCACCAGTTCATAAACTTACCTTTTCCCCTGTCAAGAGGTACTGGTAAGGGGTGATAATTATGAGCACCAGTTCATATACATATACCTTCTCCCTCTGTCAAGAGCTACTTGTAAGGGGTGGTAATATGAGCACCAGGACATGTACATAAGTTCTCCCCTATCAAGAGCTACAGTGGTAAGGGGTGATAATTATGAGCACCAGTTCATATACACATACCTTCTCCCCTGTCAAGAGCTACTGGTAAGGGGTGGTAATTATAAGCACCAGGACATGTACATAAGTTCTCCTCTACCAAGAGCTACAGTGGTAAGGGGTAATAATTATGAGCACCAGGACATGTTAATACCTTCTCCCCTGTCAAGAGCTACAGTGGTAAGGGGTGATAATTATGAGCACCAGTTCATATACACATACCTTCTCCCCTGTCAAGAGCTACTGGTAAGGGGTGATAATTATGAGCACCAGTTCATATACACATACCTTCTCCCCTATCAAGAGCTACAGTGGTAAGGGGTAATAATTATGAGCACCAGGACATGTTAATACCTTCTCCCCTGTCAAGAGCTACAGTGGTAAGGGGTGATAATTATGAGCACAAGTACATAAACATACCTTCTCCCCTGTCAAGAGCTACTGGTAAGGGGTGGTAATTATAAGCACCAGGACATGTACATAAGTTCTCCTCTACCAAGAGCTACAGTGGTAAGGGGTGATAATTATGAGCACCAGGACATGTTAATACCTTCTCCCCTGTCAAGAGCTACAGTGGTAAGGGGTGATAATTATGAGCACAAGTACATAAACATACCTTCTCCCTTTTCAAGAGCTACTGGTAAGGGGTGATAATTATGAGCACCAAACTTATCCTCCCTTTTGAACACTTCCTGGGACTTGTTAGTCTGTGTGGCGATTGTTCTGACACTTGATCTCTGTGCACACACCTGTCTGACTGCACATGTCAAAGGTTGTTTTACTAATTTACTCAACATTCTCTGTTATGCTTAAAAAAAATAATGTTTAGTTTCATTAGAATCACATTGTTTGCCATATTAACCCTCAATCCCAAACATTAAAAAATTGTGTTAATGAAATGTGATGTTTTATGAACTTTGACCAGACTTTGGAAAATTAATCTCTCCCAACCCACCACAACAAAGCACAAGAAAGTATAATAAATAATCAATTGCCCAATTTAATATAACCTGCATGTAAATGATTTATTGCAAAATTAAACCAAAACAAAATCTTAATTAATTATTTTGCAAAATATTCCATCCCCCCCTTTCCCTAAGTAAACAACCCCTTCTTAAGGTTCAATATAACAAATTGACAAATATGGCTATTTTTACCCTCAAAATTAATCTGATTATAGACAAACAAGTGCAGTTGGATAAGTTTCAAGGCCTTAATAGCATCCACTAGAGATACAAAAGTTAAATGCATTTTAAGTTTTAGAACGATAATATATTTTAAGGATTTTGATGGGCATTTTTTTTTTGTTCCTGCAGAAGATGTATAAATAAATAAACTAAGTCAGGTAAAATCTTTGAGATGCCCCCTCTCAGGTAACAGTTGTAATAGTCTTTTATTCAAAAGCAATACAGCTTATAGAATTTACATATATACAAATATAATAGCATCAGTGAATAATTACATTTATTATACCTCAGTTATCATTTTCTATATAAAATAAGTACACAATATTTTTACTATTTTTCAAATTGCAAGCGTTGAACTATTTGACCAGTCAATAGTTTCCAACTATTGGACCTCGATGAAACTATTTGACCGCAAGCGTCATTATATTTCGCGGAATTTCAAATGCAGCTACGGGATTGGAGGATGTTGAGAATACCGCGGTAGTTGAGATGTCGCATTTTACCTATAGCTATTGTATCTAGGGTTGACGTCAGTGCAGGACGTAGCCTTAGCATTCAGAATATATATGAAGGAAACGTAGTCGTTAAACAGTATGGTTGTGATTCTGCTTTTTATATTACGATAGTTGATTTAGCCCAGATATTTATTGTCTGTTGTTTCTTTCGGTATAATAAAACACTTACTGACTGGATATTCGTGGTAAAGTAAGTTTATTGTCCCCTCGGATACAACTTTTGCCCTCAGATATGCCTCAGGGCAATAGTTGCACCTCGGAGGACAATAAACTTACTATTCCACTCATACCCAGTTAAGAAGTATAAAATGTGTTTTACAATTACAAACAGTTTGAATCATTGAATCATCGGCGGAAAATGACAACAAATAATATAAATAATGAAATGTGAGCATTATGTTATGAATAACGAATCTTATCAGCTAAATAATTATTTAATTGTTTTGAATAATAAATAAATAAAATTCTTTATTTAACAAAGGTAACTTATTTAACGATAACATGTTAATCTTCCCTGGGGCCTTCAAAAACTATTAATACAAATGGAAATAATACAAACAAACATAATACAGTTAACTACATGTATATATTACAGCTGCTTAAATATTGAATAAGCACATATATGTATTCAATAGAAGAAAAAAGTACAGTTAGATTTAGGTACATTGTATCTTCGTTCTGTAAAGTTAAAAAATAGTTTGAACATTTGATCTTAAATGTATCTAAATTATTTGTTTCCTTAATATTATTTGGCAAATTGTTCTAGGTAATAAGACCAGAATATTTAAATGTTCTTTTTAAAAAATCAGAATTACGTCTTGGTACATGAAGAAGTCCTGATGTTGTCAACCAAAGCGAATAATTATAAAGATTTATTAAATTAGATAATCAGGTGTTAGACCATTCATACATTCAAAAATTAAGACAGCTTGACATATTGTAACTTGTAAATACGGTCAACCATTCATGCTCTTTAAAAATTAAATTTGATGGAAAATCAAAAGAAACAGATAAAATTAATCTTGCAGCATGTTTTTGGAGCTTATGAATCCTTTCCAGATTACAGTTGATGTAAGACCCCATACTGTACAACAGTAATCAATAATGGGTAATAAATAGCTATTGTAAAAAAGAATAGACCCTTTAATGGTAAATAATGTTTCAATCTCTTTTAACAGGTATATTCTGCTTGAAATAATTTCACATATTTTAAATTGTATTGTATTGATTGATATTGACAATAGAGGTAAAGGGTTATTTTTGTGCAACGTTTTTGGCCTTTTTATTTCCCGTGTTTTCGTGTTTTGATGTTTTATTTCTCGTTTTCTTGTGTTTAGTTCGATGTGCGTGCTTCATGTTTCCCTTTATTTATTTCATGTGTTTTGTGTCAGTACTCTTAATTTCTCGTGCTTGTCACGCATTTGATAAAAAGTTAACCAGGACTAATTCAGTCAGCCCGGATATTGTTTTAATTATGTATTAATGAGCTGGTTCTTCATTAAAAGCCTATAAGTACTAAAATAACAGTATATCAATAAATTGAAATGGGGGAAAATTCAAAACAGATTGTTGAACACATGTTGAATGCATTATATACTTTTATAACAGCAGATCATGTTTTGTACTGACTTTTGCTTAGTACATGGTCGTGTCAACGTATATTTGTTCCTAATAATATTTATTCCTGAGGGAAACAATACTATAATAAAATATGTTCTGCAGAATTTCTGTCATGGAATACATTTTCCATCTGTATTATATTTGTTCCACTGATATTAGGAACTTATGTTATATGTTGATTAATATAACAAATGTTCCTTTTAAGCTGGTGATTTTTTACACCCGATTGATTATTATCTAAATCAAAACAGCGTTTTACATGCTGATTTTCTATTATGTAATTATTATTTAATTTGAAAAGTGTTAATGAGTTAGATATATTCACCTGTACACAATACCTGTATGCACAAACAAACATGGAGGCTGATGAATATGAAAAAATATTTATGTTCCTTAATGATGGCTCATACATGTATGTTGAAGGTAAGTAAATATGTTAACAAGTTCATCTGTGAAATATAAATTTAAATTCTGATGAGACAAATATCATTTATATGAAAAATATGCATGCCAGTAATTGTGGATAATTTAAAATAATTATTTAATGTCAACTTCATTGGGAACAATTATTTCCCATATTCACGATACCTGTTCTTTTACTAGTATTCTTTCTACTAGTAATATCAGAATAATAATTGTACATACCAGTTTACCATTCCTGCATTCGTAATAGATAGTACGTTATAATATTTTCGGGTCAGAATAAATATTACATAATATTTTTTCCATTCAGAATAGATATTACATTATACTTTTTCTATTCGGTATAAATATTACATACTTTTAACCTTAGGAATTTATATTACATAATACTTTTACCTTGACACAATACCACTTTGAAATGGGTTTAACATGCAAAAATAAAGATACATTGTCCCATAACAAATATACATTACCCCAAAAAAAAAAAAAATCAATTAAACAATATTACAAAATATGTTTTATTAAAAATTTCAATGAATTAAGGACCATTAAAACACTTTATAGCCTTGATAACGACATGTTTGCAATCACAGAAAGAAAATTATATTATAAAGGAGGAAAATCTAACAAGGGAAAAAATAAATTGGTTATTACCAAAGATCAAAAATAGCATTTATGAATATTTCCCTGTACTTAAAAAATCCAAATAACTCCAAATTGTTTGCTTATAAAATGTGCATCAATTTAGTACTGTATTTCTGATTACTTTCATTTTAATGAATGATATATATGTCAAATTGGCAAAATGATAAAAGTCAAAATGTTATACCAGTCTTGTGATAAAACTTCCAAAAGGATTATCGCCCCTGATACCAAGGTCTCTTGTGGTGAGAACTCTAATATAAAAATTGAATTTTTGTGAAAACAAAACAACAAAATGTCTAAAGATTGGGAGAATGAATGGGAAAGTGACATATGTAGCATGCAATCTTTGCAAACCAACCCATACTGCAATGATCAACACTTAAAAACCAGTCAAAATATATCCGACTTGACTGACAATGTAAACAACATGGCGCCAACATATGCAAAAGTAACTGCTGGCAACTTAACAATTAATACAGATACAAATGATACAAATGATACAAACGATACAAACGGTGTCAAACCAATATTCATTAAAGAAACAGACGTATTTGGAGCCTCAAACCCAGCCAAAGAACTCTGGCTTTCCCACACAGAAATATTCAAAGGGATGGCAATGTCAATAAAAAGAGAACACATAAAGGGAATTCAGAGAATAGGCAAAATGTGGAGGTTATACCTAGATACAGAAGAAGACAGACTTAAACTCCTAGGTGAAGGAGTAGTTCTCAGAGGAAAAAATATCCCCCTTCTTCCCCACAACCCAAACAATCCAAACTACAAAAGCAACCTAAGAAAAGTCAGAGTAAAAAATGTGCCATTGTCTGCTGATGATGGTCAGATACAGAGAGAATTAGAGATGAGAAACATAAAAGTCATTTCATTATACAGAGAAAGGCTGAGAGTTGACAATAAAATGACAAACTGCCAGACAGGAGACAGAGTATTTTTTTGTGAGAAATTTGAAAAACAATTACCCAAGACAATGCAATTCGGGAAATACCTAGCTAGGGTTTCACACTTTGGACAGATAGATGAAAACACTCTATTTATTTGTAGTAAATGCCTCCAGAAAGGCCACTTTACAAGTGACTGTCCCAATGAATGGGTGTGTAGGGGCTGCAACAAGTCAGGCCACAAATTTTAGAATGTCCCACCTTTTTGGAAAGAATGAAGCAAAAAGAAACAAAAGACCAACAAGAAAAGGAAAACCAAATTATTATACATGACTCTACAAGACAAGAAACAGAACAAAATGACCACATAGAAGAAATTACAAATCAAAGCAACCAAGAATGCGACACAACAGATGAATGTACAGATCCTTCTAAACAACCAAGTGCAATTTTGGAACAGAACAGGAAAGTAACTACAAATGACAAAAAAGATCAAGCCCAAGAAATGAAAAAAGAAAGAAAGAAGAAAAACATGTCAGAAAAAAATGAAAGCATTTCGCACAGTGTAGACTCAAAAACTAAAAATACTGATAAACCAGCAAAGGAAAGAACAAGTCAAAGACAATTGGACATTAACAGATTTACTACTCCAAATAGAAGACAAGAAGCTCTGAAAGGAAGAACACCACCAACTCCACCAGACCAAGATAGAGAAAACAAGTCTTCAAAAACTTAATCAAATAATTAAAACATATCTTTTATCTTAACATAAAAAAAGTAGAAAAAAAATAATGTCATTGTATATATTGTATATAGTCTTTTTGATTGTCATTTATCATTTATTACCAAAGCATAATAACACAAGTGCATTCAATATGTCATACACTCAGTATCAACATAAAAGCAAATGCTATCTTAATTGTCTAACTCTAAAAATGTTAACATTGATGATACAAGCACTTTTGTATTTTATCAACACATTTACCTTAAAGAAATGTAACTCAAATACATTTTCAAAAATGGGTTTTCCCATAACTATTTTTAGTAACAAAACAAACATTATTCGCAACAAGTATAACGTAATAAAATCACTACAAAAAGTATTTAAAGAAATGAAAACAACGACTATACTTACATTAGCTGTTCTGACAAGTACCGCTTGTCTAATCTGTTCTAATAAACCTGAAATTATTTCAATTAAAGTAACTAAAGTAATACATATTTATAAAAATAATTTTTCATATTATTATTGCATGACGATACTGTTTGTAGTTAGATGTATTAAGGTACAGAAACAAAAGTTATGTAACACGGTAATGAAATCGTGTAGTAAACGAAGGAATTTATGTTTTAGAACTTGTGGTATTACTATTACGCAATGTGTACATTTACAGCTATATAGACATTGGTTAGTATGTAATTTGTTGTATATTATTTGTTACGAGAACACAACAGAGAAACCAAAAGACTATTTAACATCGTATAGGTATTCTCTGTTTTTATCATACATGTGTTACAGTTTGTATGATACCCACTTTGTACGCGCATGGGTTGTCTGCCTGCGCTATTGTTATATACTCGTATTTATATATTATATACATTGCCCAGTATGTAAAACTCTTATAACATGTATAAGATCAGAAAACATCATAAAGTTTATATGTAAAGTAAGAACAATCATGTTAAACTACCATACACGGCACCGGGGACTTCAACTAAACTAGTTATCTTTCAAAAAAAAGCAAATGACATAAAAAAATCTAAATTTAAAGTCCCAGAAAAATATAACTATACAAATAACAAGTGTGTATGTGTGAAGAAAAAAAAAAGAACAACGTGTATTTGTATCCATACTTTTTAAAAGTAAAAGTATGCTTAGGAAGGAAAGAATACATAAACCACCTAAGATTAAAATCAAAATTGTAAACACCTTTGAAATTTTTATGAATGGCATTATAAGTAATTCGACAACTCTAAACACCTTTATCATCAGGTTGTCACGTATTACACCTTCTGAATCTATCAACAAAAAAAGTAATTACAAGCCAGTCAAGCGTACTTTAAATAAAGTAAATAAAAAATTTAAGAACAATCAAAACAATACTCAGTATGATAAAAGACATCCATATTTGCATGCTTAACGTCAAAGGACTCAGAGATAAAGAGAAAAGAGCAAGATTTTATCAGTGGATAAAAAATCAAAAAAGTCATAACTTTTATACAAGAAAGTCATTTTGACGAAAATCTAGAACAAAAATTATATACTGAAACTAGTAACCATTTCTATTTTAGTCATGGTACAACCCAAAGTAAAGGTGTAGCTATTATAATTGATAATAGACTAGAATGCAAAGTAATCAATGAAAACAAAGACAAAGACGGCAGAATACTTATGTTAAATATAGAAATAGAAAATATAATTTATTCGCTCATTAACATCTATGCACCAAACATAGAAACTGAAAGAAACAAGTTTTATAAAAATCTGTCTGATTTCATAAATAATTATGCAATTGGAACTGTCATAATAGGAGGTGATATGAATGATGCACTGTCAAACTTAGATAGAAAACTCGCTTGCGATAAACGTAAAAATATAAAACCAGTGAATAGTTTAAAAACTTTAATTAAAACGCACAATCTTATTGATATTTGGCGATATTAAACCCCCAAAAAATTCAGTTCACCTGGAAAAGACAAAATTTCAGTCAAGCAAGTCGAATTGATTACTTTTTAATAAATAAAGACTTTGTACTTAATACAAAATCAAGTGATATTAGACCCGCATTAATAAAAAGTACAGACCACCAAGGCGTATCTCTCAAATTACAAAGCGTAACTGCCGAAAGTAAAGGCCCGGGATACTGGAAATTAAACAATTCTATTCTAGAAGAAAATGAATATTGTAAAGAAATAGAAATAATAATTGCAAAATATAAGACTATCATGCAAGACACAATTATGGATTTGCATCTTCTTTGGGATGCGATAAAACTTGATATTAAACTGTTTACCATAAACTATTGCAAAAGTAGAGCATACAATAAAAAAAATGAAATAAAACAATTGGAAAAAAATTTAATCATTTTAACTGAAAAATATCAGATAAATGAAAACAATGATGTATTGCAAAAAATAAATCAAATTGAAAATCAGCTAGAAAAGCATTATGAATATAAAGCAAAAGGCGCCCAATTAAGATCGAAACAAGACTGGGTAGAAAAAGGCGAAAAAAATACAGCATATTTTTTAGGACTAGAAAAAAATAAACAAACAAAAAAAACAATTATAAAACTAAAAGATCACCAAGGAAATATTGTTACAGATCAAAGCGAAATACTTCAAATTGAAAAGAAATTTTACGAAAATCTATATTCAAAAGAAAACGAAGATATTGCCCAATCATGGGAATATATTAACGGTACTGAAATAAAAAATAAATTATCAAAACATGAAAGTCAAACGTGCGACGGATATGTTACAATAGAAGAATTAACACTAGCAGTTAATAATTTAAAACCCAATAAAAGCCCAGGTAAAGATGGTATCACGACAAATTTTTATAAAAAGTCTTGGCAATCATTAGGTCCAATCCTTGTTAACATTTTTAATACAAGCTATGACAGGCAAAAGCTACCATTTTCCCAAAGACAAAGTATTCTTAATCTAATATACAAGAAGAATGATCCACTAGATCTTTCAAATTATAGGCCAATTTCCTTATTAAATTCAGATTATAAAATATTATCATACACATTAGCTCAAAGAATAAAAAATGTACTAAATCTAATTATAAACGCAGACCAAACAGGGTATATAAAAAAACGATATATTGGTTTCAATCTCAGACAAATACAAGATATCATAGATTACGCCGATAAATTTAATGTTGAAGGTGCAATTTTGTTTCTAGATTTTTCAAAAGCATTTGATACTTTAAAATGGTCCTTTATGTACCAAACTCTCGAATATTTCGGCTTTAATAGTTCATTTATAAACTGGATCAAGACGTTATATTCTGATATAAATAGCTCAGTGTTCAATAATGGATGGATTTCTGCACCAATTAGTCTAAAAAGGGGAGTATGTCAGGGATGTCCTTGTTCTTCCATGATCTTCGTGATCGCAGTAGAAATCATGGCATGTAAATTAAGAAATGATAATAACATTAAAGGCATTGAAATAAAACTTGACCATTCAAAACATAATTTGAAAATTTCCCAGTTAGCAGATGACACCACTTTGTTTCTCAAATCCAAAAATGAAACTATAGCAGCATTAAACGTTATTGAAATATTTGGCACATTTTCTGGTCTTAAATTAAATAAAAATAAAACGGAAGGCATTTGGATAGGAAAACTGAAAAATTGTAAAGAAAAAGTAGATAATATAAAATTCACAGATAAACCCGTTAAAGTGTTAGGCTTGTATTTCGGTACAAATAAAACAGAATGCGCAAAACTAAATTGGGAAAACAAGCTTGAAAAAGCAAAAAAACTTATGAAATCATGGGAAAAAAGACATCTTACTATCATCGGTAAAAATTTAATAATCAAATCACTTATAATTCCACAATTCACATATTTAGCAAGTATGACAGTCATAAATAAAACGTATATTTGCAATTTAGAAAGAGAAATTTTTAATTTTATTTGGGACGGAAAACAAGATAAAGTAAAACGATCAACTCTTATATCAGATTACAGCAAAGGAGGACTCAATATGATTGATATCGACAGTTATTTTAACACACTTAAAATTAAATGGGTATCAAGATTAATAGAGTCAAAACATGAAAATTGGTCAATTATTCCAAGATTCTTTTTTGATAAATATGGTGAAAACTTCCTTATCTTTAAAATGAATTTAGAAATTAATAATTTAAAACCACTTAAAATTACAACTGGATTACCAGAATTTTATCTAGATATTGTAAAGTGCTGGATACTTAAAGGTGGAGGTCAAACTAAATCGCCCACTAACTTTAGAGATATACGCAAAGAAATTATATGGGGTAATAAAAACATAAAAATAAAAAACAAACCATTATTGATGTTTAGCTGGATCAAAAGCAACATAATCTATATCAATGAACTTATTGACGAAAACATTTTTTTAACGACTGTAGATTTGTAAAAGACTTTTGGATTAAAATAACAGAAAAAATGAAAAACATAAACTTTTGTAAGAAAATAACCCTAATAGATATAGTCTTTGGATATAAAATCGGAGACCGACATTATAATGATATAAATCTTATTATAACTTTGATAGGTTTCTCAATTTACAAATCATTTTACACATCAGAACAAAGAACAAAATCCGCCGACATATACACTATCTTTAAAAACGAATTTGAATTATACTTTGAAGTAAACAGACATGTGAAAGAACGCAAAAGTAATCTAATTCGCAAATTTCAAAAATTTCTGTAAAATGTGCTAGATTAAAATATATATATATATAAATACATATATAGTTGTGAAGCATAATGTATAGAATAATAACTAATGTATCTATAAAATGAGATACTACACGTGCAAATTTAAAATTGACACCTTTGCGTCCGTTAAGAAAAATCTAAAATTTCACTTAAATCATAAAACAAAATTCACGAAATATTATGAAAGACAATAAACATTCTATTTGGATAACAAGAAACATATAATACCTTACCTTTTGATTATAATCCAAAATCAATAAGATTAACACATGCACTATATTATCCTTCAATCATGTCAGGTTACGATTATTTGATCACACTGGACACACGCACGATTTTTCTAAACGAGTAAAATATGTGTCAGGTAGATTAAGGATGGAAAAGTAAAGGTCAAATCCGGAATAAAATATACGTAAATGCAAATTTAAATGATTTGCAATTATATAAGTTTATATTATAATATATTTGTATTTGTAATTAGCTAACAATTATAAAGTAAAACTTATCTTTAAGACACCCTGTTCTTAAAGATATTAATATATCAGGGTACCTTGTTTGTGAAAGCTGTAGCAATAAGGTTATTGTAACAGCTTTAGACCAATAAATCAATTATCATAGTCTAAAAAAAAAAAAAAAAAAAAAAAACTTCCACCATAATATTTACTCCAAAGATACTTTATTATGTAACAAAACTTCCTATTGGAATTTATTTTATGTGATAAAAATTCCAAGGCATTGGTCCTTTTATTATGCTTATGGAATACATTGTATGTATCACATAAAATTAATTCCAATTGGAATTTTTGTTACATAATAAATAATCTTTGGAATAAATAGTATGGTGTATTTATATGTGTTATATAATACCTTCTGAAACTTGTGTAATCTAATAGAACTTGATATATATTGTTACCATTCTACTTTTGCAATTCTATTGTATATGTATGGTATGTTATATACAGTCCATCAAATTACTATCAATAATATTTTTTCAAATCAGAGGCAACTAGCTGACGCTAAAAGGTGACTGCAGGGTCTTCATGTCCATTAATAATGACTGCATGATCTCCAAGAACAACTGAGTAATAACTTCTAGTACTTTTTTCCTTAATATTTACGATTTTATTTCTCGTGCTTCGTTTATCCCGATTTTTATTTTCCGTGCAATGTTTTTGAGATTTTTATTTCATGTGTTTCCTTGTTCAGACCCCCCCCCCTTTTTACCAACCTCTGTTTATGAGTGGACAGTATCAAATGTTAAATTCAGGAGTTTGTTTATTTTACCTTTTTCTGCAGTGATGAAAAAAAAGGCCAATTGAAATCCAAAAGAGATTTGATCTTTCTGAAAAACATAATGCATTTAGCTTCGACATAACTAGTGGTTGCTAGGCCTTAAACTTTTCTAACTGTACTGGTTTGTCTGTACTCAAGTTATTTTTTTTAAAGTGTAACAACAGCCCACCACTTAGATTGATTGATTGTTGGTTGCTTAACGTCCAGTGGCAAATATTTCATCCATTTTCAGGACGATCCACCACTTAGAAGCTGGGACTGTAATACTAATATAACAGTCCCAGTTAGAAGTCATCATAATATATCAAAGACAACAAGAAATATTATAGTGTTTGTCTCTGTTGAAATAATGTTTATTTCATAAATGTCACACATACATGTACATCATGTACATGGGTAATGTAATGCCTGTCATCTTTTTTTATAAAAATAACCTCTAAATTTTAAACTTTGAAATATTTTTGAGGTGCAAATAAAAGCAGAATTGTGTCTGGTTTATTAATTTGGTTTACTGTATGATTTTATGTTGTTAAGTGATGATAAAAACAGAGGTTCCCCCATCAGGCATGTCTGACAGGAGAAAACAAAGCCAATTGACAAAAAAAAAAACCAAATATGTACATTTCAACAACAATGCTGCCTTTCAACACCTAGCTGGTTTGCTTTCAAATCCAAACATAATTGCCTTAAACATTTGTACCTATCATTGTATCAAAGTGAGAGTTCCTTTTGATCCCCTCATATTGATGGAAATTATAAGATTAGACAAACATTCAAAAAATCTTTCCTTTAATTTAACTCCGACATGTCTTTTTTCCAATTTTCAGGTCTAAAAATGCCCCAATTATTCTATATGTAAAATATAAAGAAGATAAAAAAAAATCAGCAGTTTCCTTACCTTTTCCACCAAGTAGTGACAGCTGGTGATGATGCAATATTTTGTTCACTGTACGAGGACCCAATTAGGGAATAACAGCTCACCTGATCACACGTGTTTCAGTTAAATAAGAAAAATTCAAAATCCGTAATGGCATGTATGTTTATGAATTTAAATACTATGTCCCCGAATCAGGTCAAAACTTCTAAAATCAAGTGGTGACCAGTTAAGTTCAGTTGCAAATTAATGCATTGCTCAGTTCTGTTGTATTTTCCTCCTTTAATATATGGAGCACTAACCAGGTTTTATATGGTGTCGAGGAAGGATATATGTCAACTCGTACCTTCGCCAACTCGTACCCTATTTTTGCCAACTCGTACTTCTATCGTCTCGTTCTTCTACCAACTCGTACCCAATATTAATTATGTAATACAAATAGACAGGAAATACAAAAAAAATGAAAAACATTGATTAACAACATTTCAATTTGCTAACCGAGTCCCTGTGGATGAATGGTCCATCGGCTGATTGAAAGACATTCATTATTTAATCTAGTCTATTCATATTATATAAATATCATGAAAAATTTCATTATTTTATTTTTTAAATTAAAATTTTTAGTAAAGATGTAAATCATTTTAGTGTCTATAAACTATGTCTAGTGCTATATCTATGTCTTTGTAATATATTGTATCTCTCAAATTCGTCATTATCTAACATTGTAATACATTACGTACGGTTGTTTGAATGAAACCAATCAGTGGTTAATTGTGTCATTCAACAATAAGTATATTGAACATTAAATGTGAGTGTGAACAGTTATTTAATTTGATTAAACATGTAAATATTTTGTGATGAACAGTTATCACTTCTTTCAGTTTCTAGCGATTCCTCAATTAAAGTGTACAGAATTTTACACCGGTATTGAAAATAAATACACCCTGAGGCGCAGCCGAAGGTAGCATGCATTTTCAACACCGGTGTAAAATTCCGTACACCCCTGCCCTGACTGCACCGAGATAACGAATTTATTTCTTATTTACCGTTCGTTTACTGTTTTTATTCCAGGGAATAAAATTGAACAAAAAATCTTATGACCAGCTCTCATTACACATTTTTCAACATCAACGTTGCTCTGCATTTTTCAAATATCTTTTATTCTATTTTTTTTTGGCAAAAAAATTCAAAATCTAATTTTTTGTTAATCTGAAATTCTTTTTTTTTATTATTATTTTTTCCAAAATTTAAATTTTCATAATTTTGGCAAACATTTTAATTTTTGGAAATTTTGGCATATCTTTTTTTTATCCCCTTGTGAACTAGGGTGGGTTGTTATTTACACCCGAGTACTTAACCAATCAGATTGCAAGATTCTTGCTTCATAAGAAATAATGTTTTATCGTTCTAGAAATGGAAATCAAGAACAATGTTCATTTGCCCCTACTGTGAAGAGGAGTCTGATCAAGCGTATGCTATGCTTGGTCACACAGTAATAAAGCACCGTCATAGCTAAAAAATGACAATGTATATTTGTGAGGTGAACGCATATCAGATACACATTTATTCTTTTTTTAGTATTATATCATAAGGATCGTATTGAAGCTTACAGATTCATGATTTATTTCGTTGTTTATTGAATACATTGGACAAGTCCCCGAGTTTATAATTAGCTCAGTAGTCAGTACTTCGGTATTGACATGATTTATAGCAAACCTTTCTAAAATTATTTTTCAGGGCTCCAAGGGGGACAGGGAAAGAGAAATATGGTCACTTCAGTCCTCTTCCTACCTACTCTTGCCAAAGTGAGACGTCCGTTTAGCTCTTTTAGTACAATATTTGGGTTTATATTGAATTTGTTTGATTGTTTACTCCTTATCTTTAGTTTTCTTTCTCCTATGTTTTTTCGTCACTGTAATACATATCAGTCATAAAATACTATTGACTGTAAAAACAAAGGTAGCAATGAAATTAAAAAAAAATGAGTCCCTGTACTCGGTTCTTTAGACCGTTTTAAAACGGACCCATTGATTTCTTATATAATATCGTAATAGGTTGTGGTTAAATGTTTTCAGAACAGAAAGTTATCATTAAATTGAAAAAGGTTAAATTTTATCAACATTGCAATTTATTTTTCTTTGTGAATTATTGGGAATAAATAATGTTGTCCTTCACTTAATTACAGTTATAAACTAGAAAAAGTCAGTTTTTAAGGTCAAGAATGCCTTATTTCTTATTCACATTTTCTTCAAAAAACCCAGACCATTTGTTGAAAAACCCGGACGTTTTGTACTGTTGCCCTCGACAAAAATACGGACAATGCAAAACACTGAATTTTAGGTTAAATACAACGAAATTGTGCGTCTTTTGTGCTCGAAACATGAATAGTAGTCAAAATAAGATGGACAGTCATGAATAAAACTATTTTAATTGCAAAATAGCAGTTAATTGACCTGATCGCATGTTTTATCACTCGAAAAAACCCGATCTACACTAAAAAAAAAGTGGACCGATTCACTTGAAAAAACACGATCTCTGCCGGACACTATACCTGCCGTGCATGAGATCTTAATTCAGATATATCGAATAATTTAATGTATTGTTATTCATATATGTTATTACCAGGGGCGGATTCAGGCGGGGGCGTGGCGGGCGCGTCCCCCCCCCTAAAATTTGCAAAGCATGGGTTGTACTCAAAGAATTTAAGTTTGCGCTCTCCTAACCTAAAACCCTGGATCCTCCCCTGATTACTTATAGTATCTAATAAACATATGTAATACATTTGGACTTTGTTTAATTCGTATGCTGGCTTTGTGGTTTCAAAAGGATTAGAAAGGTGTTTATTTTTAACTTGGCGTGTACTGGTTGACACAGGCGCACAGTATATCTGCGTTATGGAAATTTCGACTGTAGATTAACCACATAGAAGTAGAAGTAGAAGTATTATATATACACTTACACGAAAAAAACTCACATGTCCAACGCAAAAATCAGTAAAAAATATTCTTTTCCAATATTCTATGGATCGTTCAAGCTTGAAATGATGTTCTACATATTCTTATTTACCAACAAGGGTTAAAACTAATGAATTCATTACTTACCAATTAAAGACTAATGCTGCATTTAAAAACAAAAGTAAAAAAAAAACATTTAGAAAAATCATATCAGTAGATCAATTACAAAATGAAAATAACAATTAAATTTTCAATATAACCTAATAAATGAAACACAATCATGCTTAAATATAGTGGGTACGAGTTGGAAGAAGTACGAGTTGGTAAAAATAGGGTATGAGCCCAAGTTGATTGAGTACGAGTTGACGAATGTACAAGTTGTCGTGTACCCTCGAGGAACATATATATATTTAGTCCGAGATTGCTCTGACTTCCAGCGGCTGTTTTGCCAGACAAGCTGGGGTCATATTTAGGCATTATTTATGTAACACTCTCAAACGTGTCCATCCCCCCAAACGTGTCC